CCATAATAATCATTAGCAATTCGACAAAAATAATTGATATAATCGATTACGATTACGACGAGACAAAAGTCTTGATAAATATGAAAAAAAAAAAAAGCAAATAATTGTATATCCCCATTAATGTAGTTAACCATGTGAAAATATATAATTGGGTAGGAATAATTTTATCGGCCGTTATAGTAGTACGGTAATTATGCCATGACGTCAGCTTTGACATTAGAGATTAGATCGGAAAAAAAAGAAAAAGAAACAAAAAGAAAAGAAAAAAAAAGGAAAAAAAAAAAAGAAAACAAAAAAATAATTTGATACGTTACAACGTTATTTCGTTGATGACATTATTCGCGTATCTTGTCACGTTCAATTTTTATCGCAAACAAACGAAATTACATTGATCTATCTCTCGATCGTTCTATCATTCGTTCGATCGTTCGAACGATCTGTTAATCTGATATATGCATAATTATTTTTAGAAATACCTAACATCATTTCGAGACAACAATGGGGAGCTAGATCACCGAAAACCACTATACGTCCTCTTAGAATAAATCCACCTCCGTATGTTATTATTCATCATTCGGATACTGTTAGTTGTAACACTCAAGCTATTTGTCAGGCTAGAGTGAGAAGTTTTCAGGTGACTTTTTATGATATATTCTTTTTCTTTTCTTTTCTTTTCTTTTCTTTTCTTTTCTTTTCTTTTCTTTTCTTTTCTTGTACTTTTCTGTACATTTTTTTTTTCCCTTAACAAACCATAATGTTCGATAAAATTTCATAACGAAATTATTCCTTTGAATAATTAAAACCATTGCACATTATATCCGTAGAATTATCATATGGACACGAAAAAATGGAACGACATAGGCTACAATTTTTTGGTCGGTGAAGATGGTAATGTCTACGAAGGTCTTGGCTGGGGTAAACATGGCTCTCATTCAATCCCATATAATTCCAAGAGTATTGGTATTTGTATCATTGGTAATTTTACTAGTAAGTAATATAAGCGATGTAAACGTGTTTTCTTTCATAATACTTACGTTTTTCTTTTCTTTTTCTTTTCTACAACTCAAAATATTTTATTTGTGTCTATTTGCGTATAGATACCACACCAAATCCAGCGAGCATTCGGACAACGAAGAATTTAATAGCTTATGGTGTAGCTAACAACAAAATCAAATCCGATTATAAGCTTCTTGGCCATCGACAAACCGCTCAAACTGATTGTCCTGGAAATTCATTATACAATATGATTAAAACATGGAATAATTGGAGCGATATGCCATGAGAAATATAATCGTTATGCGATTAAATTTATTTACGAGGTATAACGTTATATCGTTATAATATTAACAATTATTGTTATATCGTCTTAATGATCATTTTGACTTGTTTTCAATTAACAATATAAATAGATACGTACAAATTTGACATTCCTACGAATATTTTCGTTTGTTGTATCGTAAAGAAAGAATTTTAAAAGGATTAATAATATTTTGTATGCTTATATAGTTATCGTGGGTGAATCTTTTGTAATTTGTAATGCGTAAGGTTTATTCATTATTTTTTTTTTTTTTATGATATATACAAAGACAAATGTATATATTTACAAAAGTATAAAATTTTCTCAATGATTTACAATATGCTTATTGATCAAAATAATTTTTGTTTAGATTGTATCCTTCTATATCGTATGTTTATGATCATTCGATTAGATCTATTAAAACGGGACATCTCTCACAGTAAATAATAAAAAGAGAGGGAATTCACCGTATTTATTATAAGAGGAAAAATCAAGCTTGACAGATGCTAATTTATGGGTATATCATTATTTATAGATGTCTTACTAATTAGAGATCTCTTATTGATGTCTCGTTAGAACGATTGTATCGCATACCAATATCAGAATTTTTTACGATGGATTGGATCGATAATGCCGATAATAATAGATTTCTGTTTTACCAACTGTATATGAATGTCGATGTTAACGAATGAACGTTCTTGTTTATCGGCCGAGTAAGAACGTTGATAATTGTAAATTTCTCTTTGACCGACCGAGTAAGACTTTTGATATTAGTAGATTCCTATTGTACCGATCGGTTTAAAATGATGATGATGATAATAATGTTTTACCGATCAGTTTAAAAAGTTGGTAATGATCGGTATGGTTACAAAAAAAAATTAAATCAGAATATGTTTAAATCTATCCAACTAATCAGGGAAATAATCAATCCCTAAGGATTTGTACATCCTCATGAAAGATGAACTAAAGAATCTTTATTTAGATCTGATTCTTGTTTCTCTCCCTATAAAAGAAAAGGATATATACCGAAGTGGCCGTCACAAATTGTGACTCAAGAGGATAAATATTAGAGTATTGAGTTATTATCAAAGATTCATCAAAATCTTTCGAGAATAGATATATTCATTATATTTTAATTTTACCACGTTGTCAATCAAAATGCTCTTATGCTTTGGGAACTAGAATTTTTGATAACTCATGTCAATCCTGGGAACATGAATTTTAGAATAGACTCACTAGTTATTCTATCACTTGTATACTAATTAATTACTGATTAATTTCTAATTAATTAGCATTGCAGACACAACATTTTTTGCTTACATTTATAGTTCACATTTTGTCCATAGCTGTCGCTGAAGTCTCACACTTCCAACGGAAGGTGATAAACAGTCTTAATGTAATTTCTTATCGAAAGATAAAACAGGATTTTAGATATGCAAAGATCAGTATAAGATCAGTATAAATATTAATATATATATTTTTAAATTATAATATATATATGTATATACATATATATATATATATTAATTCTTTTTATTATTTTTTGTGAATAAATTTTTGTAAATTGCACATAAAACTTATCTATTGAGTAACATTATTTATGTTGTAGATATTTTGTTTTTCTTTTTTAATTTGACATTTATTATGAATTATATTCATTTTAATATAAAAAAAGTACTACATTTATATATATATACATGTATATATATATATATATATATGTATATAGAATAATCTGAAAATAATCGTGTTTCTGTTAATTGAAATTAATTTAGAAATGAATTATATGATATTTCATATTTACCGCGTAAAATCTTATCTCTTGGTAACAATGTAGCAAACGCAGATAACTTCAGATAGATCATGTTATATACTACTATGGAAGTAACCTTGTTATACGTTGAAATTTTGGATAAGTGTGTAAATTATTATGAATTATTAAATATTATGTAAAAATTATAACTCTGTAATTTAGTGTTATTTTAACGATTGTTATTTGTTTAAAAGAGTATTTTTATTTTCAATAATATATTACTCATTCATACATTTAACATTTAACCATACCAAGTAATATATTGTCAGAAGGGGGAAAAAGAAATAAGTATTTTAATAGATAAATTAATATAAAATAATGAAGAATCGATTTCATAATGTGAAATGGAAATAACTTTTTTTGCGACAGTATACGTGAAATTTATTGAGACACTGATTTTCAATGATTACATTGACAGGACCTAACTTAACAGGAGTAAGGTGAAACTAGGTTCATTGGGAAGATCTTTAAATATAAATCAATTCATATGAGCGGGTAAAATAATTCTACATTATGGAAGCTCATGAAAATGAACAATATGTTACATTTCCACTTTCTGGAGTACATGATAATATTCAAGAAAATATAATATCACACGAAGAGATATGTGAACCTGTTGATGATTGTGTACTACAAGATGGTTTAAATGAAGTTCCTGTTAATGATGTTAATACTGATATTCAAGAAGCTCATGTTGCTGTCGAAATTTTACCTGATAGATCGGATGAGGAAGATGAAAATCGTAGCGTTTATCCTATATATATCAAACAGGAGGAACAACAACAATATACTTCTGGCGATGATGAATCAATGGCTGTTGAAGCACTTCGTCAATTAGGTGGCATGTATCCTTGTTTTGAAAATAAAAAAGTCAGTTGTCCTAATTGTGCTAATTTGTTCACACAAATTGAATTTACCAAACATCAGGGTACGTGTAATATAAGTAAGTTATCATGTCCAACATGCGGAGAAACATTTGAAAGGAAAATGGATTTAAATAATCATATGGTTTGTCATCAAGTTGATCGACCACATGCATGTAGAACATGCGGTAATTTGTTTCGTTCTAAAAGCAGTCTTCAATCGCATATGTTACAAGTTCATCAAATAGAAAGACCTCATAAGTGTACCATTTGTGGTGCAGACTTTCAAAGACCATCTAGCTTATCAAATCATATGAAAATACATACTTATGTAGCTGGACGTGCTATAATGCAATCAAGAGGAAATAATCAATTATCACAGTCTGTGGATACATTTAGAAAATGGTCTGAAAATAATACGTCTGAATCACAAAATGTACCTGTTCCATCTTCGACAGTTCAAACTGTACAAAATTATAATGCTTGTCAAGTTCATTGGGCTGTTCCTGCTTATACTTTTCAAAATGAACAATCGTCTACTGTCAATACAATCTCTAATCATGATGAAAAAATAGATACACTGCATGAATTTAATGTATTACCTAATGGTGAAGTAACACAATTTGAATATACACAACAAAATAATATGAATAATCAAATCAGTCAACAATACAGTTTATCCCTTAATACATTTAATAATTCAGACAGTATGGTCAAAGTTGAGGCACTTACATATAATAATGACAGTAGAAGAAATTATGTGGATATGGGGACAGATGTTAATAAACAGCATACATGTAGTCATTGTGGTATTAGTTTTTCAAGAGCAATAGCATTAGTATCACATGAAAAGATTCATACATCTAAAAACTGGATGCCCATTGAATGTGAATATTGTGATAAACAGTTTCAAGATGCAAATCATTTGGCAACTCATCAAACTACTTGCACAAAAAAAATTATGCAGAATAATATTGATCAAGGTGTTTCAAATAGTAAATGGGGAAAACATGCTTGCTCTGAATGCGGAAAGAAATTTACAACTAAACAGAAAATGTTTAGGCATCAATGGATACATAGAAAGAAAACTCATTGTTGTGAAGTTTGTGGAACACAATTTGAAAAACAAAATCAATTAGATAAGCACAGATTGTCGGCCCATCCTGGTGATTCACCATTTACTTGTACGGAATGTGGAAAAAGTTTTGTATCACGTCAAGGTCTTTGGGAACATGGTAGAACTCATGCAGGAAGTCCAGCACATTTTCATTGTGATACTTGCTCAAAAACTTTCTCCTCGCGACAAGGATATTTAATTCATCATCGTACTCATACAGGTGAAAGACCATATGGTTGTAAATTTTGTTGGAAAGCATTTAGAGATGGTGGTACATTAAGAAAACACGAACGAATTCATACAGGAGAAAGACCACACGTATGTCCTTTATGCTCTAGAGCTTTTAATCAGAAAGTTGTTCTTCGTGAACACGTTCGATGGGTTCATGCTGCAGGAAAAAATGAAACTGAAGTTACAGGACCACCTTATCCTTGTCCTTTATGCGGTGCTTTAAATCAAGATCGTGATGAATTGTGCGCCCATATTGTTAAACATTCGGATCAAATGATAGCCGAAGCAAAAGCAAAAACAAATAATAATGCTCCTAAATCACGACCTACGAGAAAAAAAACTAAAGCATCTATCGTTGAAGGTACACAGGAGAAACAAAATCTAGATAATAATGAAATTTCAAGATTAGAACAAAATAAAGCATTATTATCTATAACAGAAGCAATGGATAAAACAGAGTGTCAACAAATTGTAAATGACAAACAAAATAATACTTATCTCGTGGTTACTGCTGAAAGACATAATGAAAACTTAATCGCTATATCGGAGCTTAAACACAATAATGTAAGATTAATATTAGATGACAAACAAAATGAAAATGTAAATATAACACAGAATGATCATGATCGTGCAGATTCGTATTTAATTACTATGAATAAACAAAATGACACTACACATATTTTACCAGATAATAATGCTCTTCGTGCTATAACTACAACCAGAAACGATGAAGTTGATACAATGCATTTAATACAATCCTCTAAACAAAGTAATACTTTACATTTATTATCAAAACCAAATGAGTCACTTCCCGTTTTGACAATAAGTAATAATCCAGAAGATCATGAAAATTATTCTAGTCAAATAGCGCAGATAGGAAGTACCGATCTACCTATGGATATGGCTACACATGATACATCTAGAGAAGATCAGGCAATAAAAAGTCACAATGGGAATAGGCAGGAATCATTATTACACGAAGGAGTTTCTCAAGGAACAGTTATACAAATTGTTCATTATCAACAAGATAGTGATGATGGAGAAGAACTAGTTTGTGGTATATGTGGGGAAGATTTTACAGATAAAAACATATTAATGGAACATGTTAAAATTCATATATAATTAAAAAAATATTTTAATTTTAAAAGAAAAGATGGGAATTATTTGTTATTATAATTATTATGTCAAATTGGGAATCATCATGAATAATATAATACTAAATAGTAATAGGCTCTGCACTGTTTTTCTATGAGCTTTAAAAAAAATGCACTGTTTTAATTAATTGAGATAAAGATTGATTTTACATTTATAAAAAAAAAGATCATATATATTATAATGGATTAATTCCAAGTAACACACACACATATATATATATATATATATATATATATATTAAAATTAATATATATATATAATATATTAATATATTATATATATATTATATATATAATATAATATATATATATAAAAATAATTATATATATATATTATATTATATATATAATATAATATATATATATAATATATATATATATATATTAATATATATATATATTAAAAGTACCTTAGTTTTTTCATCATATATGATTTACCATTGGTAAAAATAACACGAGTGTAAATAAAGACTTATTAAAGGCATTTATAATGTACAGCATGACAAAGACAAAAATAAAATTGCCTTTTATTTTATATAATAATCAAGCAGTTATTTTTAATACCACAATTGTTATATCATATACTTGGAAAAAATTTATATTATTCGAAAAGTACAAATTCAAATTTGACGTTGTTTGAATTGGATACATATTCAAGTCACGTGACTTGACGGATCAAAGTAAAACAAAATGTCCGCGCATAGATAAATATTAACACGTTGGAGATACGAGAGAATCAATAATTTGTAATTAAGTGAATTTAATGGAATTATTTTCATCGTCATTTATCAAGACTTATATTATGTATTTCTGTTAAAGGTGAGTTCAAAATGTCACGAAATAATTTATTATATTATGTGATTTGTTATAATCAATTAAGATAATGATTAATTTGTTAACTTCGTCACAAAATATATTCGTTTACAGCATATATGTTTACACAAGAATTTATTTATAATTATTAGATCCACGATATATTAATTATTCGTAATTTTTAGTTTTAAACAGAATATATTTATTTGTCGAACTTATTATTTGAGGTTAGTTTTACTTTTATACGTATGTTATGTATTTCGGAAGTTGATATTGAACCGGTTAGTATCATAGGCACGTTGTTGTTTCTCCGAGTATAACGTAAAATTTACTATCATAAACGTTACTATCGTTAATTAAACATATGAGAGCGTGATCGAAGCATCGTATTTAATAGGACTATAGAAAGAATATTTTATTTTAATATAAGGAATCTGTACGGTGTGATACGAGGCACACCAAATTGTAGAACTAGAATTTGAGGTTAGGATCATTTAAGAGGTAAAACATTTGTAATTATTAACAAATTTATTTACTTTATTCTTAATATAATTTCAAATGTAAGAACTTTTGACGTTTATCAAATTAATTGTATGTACAGTATATTTTTTCGAGATATAAATATGCCTACTTGGAATCAGATTCAAGCTCAACTACGCAATCCAAATAATCCAGTAGTATTTTTTGATGTATCTGTGGGTACAACAGAAATTGGTCGTATGATTTTTGAGCTTTTTGAAGATGTATGTCCAAAGACTTCGGAAAACTTTCGACAATTTTGTACCGGAGAGTATAGAAAGGATGGCGTACCATTAGGATTCAAAGGTGCTATATTTCACAGAGTGATTAAAGACTTCATGATACAAGGAGGAGATTTTGTAAATGGTGATGGTACAGGAGTAATTAGTATCTATGGTGGTGGAACTTTTCCTGATGAAAACTTTACATTGAAACATGACTCGCCAGGATTACTTTCCATGGCAAATAGTGGAAAGGATACTAATGGTTGTCAATTTTTTATTACATGCGCTAAGTGTAATTTTCTAGACGGAAAGCATGTGGTTTTTGGAAGAGTGATAGATGGCTTATTGGTCATGAGAAAAGTAGAAAATGTTCCTACTGGACCAAATAATAAACCAAAGATACCTGTAACGATATCTCAATGTGGTCAGATGTAAAGTGAACTTTTTTATTATTTATAAAGACTGTTGTCCATAACAGATTTAATATTATCAAAAAAAAAAAAAAAAAAAAAAAAAAAAAAAAAAAAAAAAAAAAAAAGGAAATCATTTTACTATCTAAAGGATACATAACTGAAAATATATTTTAATACAATTTATACAAATTGTATCATTGACTTCAATCTGTATCCTTATTATCACCCTTAATATTACTAAACTATATTTCACATATTGCCTATAGCTATTCTGTAATATCCAATTTCTATAAATTGTTAATTATGATCTACTTATTAGATTAGTTTAAATAATCTTTAAGATTATAACTAATTTAAATTACATTATGAATTTTATAATTTATTTTAAAATACAAATATCATTCTTACAGGTTGTAAGATATTACAGCTAACTTTTTACAGGTTATAATGCACAATATAGGATTAGATAAATTGATAAAAGGATAAACATTACGTAGTGAAAAATGTTTTTATTTTGTCTTCTGTACATGCTATATATTCATAATTACTGTATGATATGTAAATTATAGTTGTGCAAACAAAGTATTTATGCGAACTGCTTTTTCAGTTCAATTATCTAATAAATCTGGCATTTTATCATTTGTTATTAATTCATAATAATAGAAGTGAAACTCAGGGTATTTTTAAATATCGTTGCAAATAATACTTTTATTGAATCTTTTAATCCTATATTAATAAATTATTTTAAATGGTAATAAAATATGGATATTTATTAACTAGAATATTCGTCTTTCTTATTGTTATTGTTTAGATTCGCAATCGACGCAATAAATTATTTGAATAATAATTAAAATATTAAAAATAATAAATGCTCGTTTTTTAACATACATATAAATATGTTTGACTCCTTAATAAGTAATTTACATTCATACTGTCAACTAACACATTCTTATAACTTTTTATATTTGATATATTTCTTACCACTTATATAAAATTTATTAAATAAAGTCAAGTATGTGTATATGTGTGTATGTGCGCGTATGTGTGTATGTGCGCGTATGTGTGTATGTGTATGTGTATGTGTATGTACATACATACATACATATGCATATATACTACTACTACTCACTACTACACTATCGCAATTCTTGCATACAATGGCAGTCGTTAATTGCCTGTTTATACACATCATTATTCACATTCATACATACATATATATATATATATATAATATATATATAATCGTCATTGTATATAACTCAAATAGGTTGATATTCTTAACTATTACATGAATGTTACAATTTTAAGTCGATATATATATATATGCATATACATACATAGGGTGCATTTAAGAAGTTCCAGGTACGAAACAAGGAATAAATTCGTGACTTTTTTTTAGGCACCATAATCTTCAAATATAAACTATTTGTTTTACATAGGAAATTAAAACTAAGTTCGTACATACAAACTACGAGAATGTACATACATACATTATATAATAATACAAGCAGATAGGTTATGTTAATTCGATATTATCAATATATGCATATTCCATAATTACAAATGTTAGAATATTATCGCATTAAATATGTAACTGTTTCTTTTTTTTCTGTTTTTATTTAAATTTACGAAGAAATATCAAGTTTAATTTATTCCTTATATAAGAAAATTGATATTCGAACACTCATATGTTTACATTTTTCAATACTCTTATTAGATTTTGATCATAAACATATCAGTCTAATCTTAATCGTTGAAAATTTCTAGGACACACTTTTTATATCTCATATTCCTGATATTTTAGCTCTCGAAAATTATTAAAAGCTCACGGTAAGGATAACAATTGATCTCTTTTCTTAGGAACCGTGAGCTCTGGTGCGGTCTACCTGCTATTACAGAAGACATCTTCTTCAATGGTATCAACTTCTTGTGCTTGATCATCGACAACCATGATAGGTGTTGCACCATCATGAAGACTTGATTTAGATTTAGATCTTTTGTAAACATCTCTGGTGACACTTCTGGTGAAACTGAATTTTCGTACAAGTTTCTTATCCAACGCAGCAGGACTCTTAGGACCTTTAGCTCTGAATTCATCTTCTGTACCTTGATAGTGTGCCAATAAGACTTCTGTTGCATGTTCTTCAATAACTTCAATGGCATAGTCAATGTCTTCTTCTGTTGCACTCTCTCTTGTGACACAAAATCTCAAGGTATACTTACTCATTACTCTAGCAGGAATCATATGTAATCTTCCAGATGCATTGATATTCGCCAAGAGTTCCTGATTAATTTCATCAGATTCTTTCAAACGAAAACACACCAGACCAGCACGTACATCATTCACAATTTCAAATCTTCTATCTTTCTTCATTAGAGCTTCGAATCTTCTTGCTAATCTGATATGATTTCTTATATATTTTTGTAGCCCAGTGATACCATAAGTCCTCATGACAAACCAGAGTTTCAAAGCTCTGAATCTTCTACTCAATGGTATACCCCAATGACGATAATCAATGGATTCCCCTGATCTAGCATGTTGAAGATAAAGAGGATCCACGACCAAAGCAGAAGTTAATTTAACTCTATCTCGTACCCATAAACAGGAACAATCAAAGCTAACCAATAACCATTTATTAGGATTTGTATTGAAGGAATCGGCATGTTCGATTCCAGCCATGAAAGGTCTCATTTCTGGACAGATAAATGAATTACCGGCGTAAGCACCATCCACGTGTAACCAAATACTAGGATAGAGCTTACAAACCGGTCCAATTTCAACGAGATTATCAAAAGAACATGATCCAGTTGTACCTAATGTTGTGGATACAAAGAAGGGTACCAAACCATTAGCCACATCTTCTTTAATCGCTGATTCTAGTCTTTTACCACGAAGAGAAGCTTTATCATCCGGCTGGAGTACTCTTAATTTAACCAAACTGATCATTGCTGCCTTCTCAACGCATGAATGAGCTTCAGTTGAGCAATAAGCAACTAATCTTGGCAAGAAAGCAGAATCTTCGGTATCTGGTTCCTGTTCCTTCAATAATCTGATAGCTTGAGTTCGTGCTGCTAGCATTGTCACTAAAATGCACTCTGATGCAGAACCTTGAATAACTCCACCACCTTTAGAAGTCTTCTCTTCGGATAGAAATTCTCTTGGTAGGTCAATAGCTTTTGCATACCAATCTAAAACAATAGTTTCCAATTCTGTACAAGCAGGACTAGCAGCCCAAGAAAAACCAATGCAACCTATTGCATCTGATAACATGTCTGCTAAGATCGATGGGAAGGAATTGCCTGACGGAAAATAAGCATGAAATCTTGGATGTTGCCAATGTGTGATCTGTAAAAAAAAATATATATATATATACATTTTATTTTTTGAAATTAATATCTTACTTAACATATATTCTAAAGCTAACTACATAGTTAACGTTACGGTTATATATAGTTAGCAAGTTATGGTTATAAGTTTCCAGGTAATTTTTTAAAATCGATTTTCACGTCGTCTCGACCATCATCGGAAGCAATCATGCGTTATATAGACTTTTAATCTTGTTTTTATACATACACACACAGACATACACACATGTATTAGCGGGTGTTATTTTTCTATTTTATTTTACGTTTTATTTTTCCCTACACATTATAATACTTGAACGAACTATATGGTGTATGTGTGTGTTTGTATTTGAAACGCAGTTTGGATCACTTCAGTGAACATAAAAAACATCCATTAAAGCGGATGTGACTTTATTTTAGATAACACTTTTGTCAAAGTTTTTGATATTTACGTACGTATGTACGTACGTACGTACGCACGCACGCATGCACGCATGCATGTATATTTATGTTCTTGTATATTATATACATATATATATATATATATATATATATATATATATATATATATAAATTATAATTAGAATACGGATAATCGATCGATCAAATTTATCAGATAAAATCGATACTTACTCCAGGCATTATTTTTCCATCGATATCTTTCATAATAGCATCCCATGATTCGGGTTTTGCTGGTGCTTCGTTTGGTAAGAGGGGTCGCAGGTATCCTGGATCCACATTTGCAGTCACTCTTTTACCTTCTAAAGTACGTAAATACTCGGATATATACTCCACCATCTCCTTGCCGCGTACTTGAAACTCGTCGATGTTCATGATAAAATCCAATTACTGGAATGCATTTTTTTTTAATATTCTGAATTATAACAAATCAGAAGTTTTTTTTTTTTTTCTTTTTTTCTTTTTTTCTTTTTTTTTTTTTTATGTGTGTGTATGCGTGTACATATAAAGAAAGTGCTATACTTTTGATTAGGCACGATTTCAAGAAACGTGTCTTATTTATACTTTTCTATCAGCAATTGCGTAAATCTTATATACCAAGCGTTAATTCGTACAAAAAAATCAGGCTTTTTTTTCTCCCTTTGGAAAAAGAAATATTTAATAAATAATAAACGTTTATTATTTATTATTTGTTAATTATACACGCACATGCACGCACACATATATAAATGTATATATAATATTAGAAAAATTAGAAATAATACAAATTTTATATTAATCTTTATTTTATATGAAAGAATTCTTTTTTTAGAAACAGAAAAAGGAACATTGAATTGTTTATAATTGTAATTTGCAAATCATTATTATTATCATTTTTTTTTTTTTGTTTTTACTAACACATTTTCTTTCATATTATGTTAAAAATCAACGATAATATAAAATTTATACTAATTTTTACTTTGTACAAAAGAATTTTCTTTTTCTTTTTAAATAAGGAAAAAATTTTTAACCGTTTACTATTTTTAATTTATAAATTAATTTGTTATTAATAATTCACTCACGGGTTTTATGTATATACGTACAAACATATAATGTTTAACAATCAGAAAATTTGTTTCTTTCTTTAATCGTATCGTTTTTTTTTTTTTTTTTTTTTTTTTTTAATATTTTCGGAAAAATTTTTAAGAAACTCACAATAACTCGTTAACGTAGAACTTTGAAAGACCGATCGTTCTAATCAATGTAACTTGCGTCGAACTCGATGAGAAACTGTAGCATCAGCCAAAGCGCCGGTCACTTTTATCCACACCATCACTTTTACACTGCCCTTCTTCTTCTTCTTCTCCTCTTCCTCACTTTTGCTTCGCTTATGGTTGGGTATATAGGCTCGGGAAAATTACATTTCTGTGTTCGTTTGCGTCACTACTGGGATTCGTTGCGTCCCAGGAAACACAAGATTAGCCTTTATGGTGACGGTTTCTTTTTGATAAGAGATATATTCTTAAGGAAATTTTCAGGATTTCTCTCTGAGAAATTTTATTTACGTGTATTGTGGGTTTTTTTCTTATGGAGTTTACCTCAACAATATATCTCAAAGTTTCATTATTATTATTATTATTATTATTATTATTATTATTATTATTATTATTATTATTATTATTATTATTATTATTATTACATGTCTGAGAAGAACGATTAGAAATGATATCATTCGTTTGTTTTGGGAAAATTTTTAATCTGGAAGTAACTTCATTAAAATTTCGCATACTTATTTATTATTTCTTTAAAAAAGAAATGTTTTTAAAATAAGATAGCATATATGCAGAATGCATTTCTTTATTATAGTATTATTTTTATCATAAAATTTATGCAAATGACGGTATATATCTGAAAGAGTAAGCGTTCCTCCTATGTTTAATAATATAACTTTTTACTACAGGGAAATTTGGTAGTAATGATTAAAAAAGAATTTTAACATTTTTCTCAGAGACGAGTTATATGTTATTTTCTTAAAATGACAGAAACAAAAGAAGAATATTTATCTTATGTATTTTTAATAATTAAACACAAAGAAAAAGAAAATTATTAGTAATTAATTCAAAAACGTTATTTAAAATAATTAATATTTAAATAAGTAACATATATAAAACATTATTGTTATTTATTTCTTCGAAATCAAGTATTTTTTAAACAAACAAAAATGAAAAATAAATATAAATGCATATGAAATAAGATATAATATACATACATATATATATATATATATATATATGTATATATATATATATATATATATATATATATATATATATGTATATATGTGCGTGTATCAATGGTGGTTGATAGTATCATGATGGGGTCGGTGCTTGAATAAACGAGCATATAGTCTCGATATTGCACGGAGAGTAAATTCAACCCCCCACCCTTAACGCGCTTTCCGTTGTTTATAAATAGATATTTACTCTTCACCTACATTTACAACACCCTGTAGAAACGGTGACAGGTCACCGCTCAATCTTTGTAATACATAAACACAGACAAGGCAGACTCCATTTTCTCGACATCACCTTCACGCATGGTCTCCTCGCGTTCGAAGTTTTTCAATTGGATTTCCAACGAGCTAGTACTGTAACTGTACAAATGAAATCGTATTTCTATTCCTAAAGTTATTCTATAGTCTTTCTTTTTGCTTTTTCTTTTTTTTATTTTTTTTTTTTTTTTGTTTTCAAACAGACTTATACGAAAGTCGATCGAACGATTTATTAGCAACACATAGAGGAAAGTTAACGATGGAAATTCATTTCTCAACGACAAAAGTTAATCATAGTTTGAATCCAAAGTCGGTTTGTTGTTTGAAACTTCATAAAATGCTAATGATATTTACATTTGTTTAGCATACAATGGTATAAAGCCAATAGAAAAGAGAACGTATCAATGGATCAATAATGTTATTTACTTTTTAGGAAAGAAAAAAATAGGTAATTGAATCAGTTAATCGTAAACATCAGTTTTTTTTTTTTTTTTTTTTTTTTTTTTTTTTTTTTTTTTTTTTTTTTTTTTTTTTTTTTTTTTTTTCTTTTAATCCATTGAGAAACAATTTTTGCATTTGTATTATAGGCGGCAGTATTGATATATTCGAACGAACAGAAATTTAACGATAATTGAAGTATTTTTCTCTTCGGTGTCATTATTTATATTTCGAAATACAGGGAATCTTAAAAGAAATTGTTTTTACAGTATTTTCTAATCATGATAGTTCTAATTATTACGTTCTGCCGTTCGGTGATCTTCCACGAGATGGTGAAGCTGTTGGTGATGGTTCTGGACTACATCCATTACTACTACCGCGTCTGCTTCCAGTACCACTTGCTTTCAATCTTACCATTGTATCCAAATGCCGAAATCTGAAGGATCCAAGAATTCATTAGAATTAATTAACATTTATTATTATAATACGTTATTATTTTATACCTTAATGATAATTCATTTGTATCAGTTCCATCTCTTGAATTCATCAAATATGCTAATGGCCAAGATATCCACGAATGTCTAAGATTGTATAAAAATAATATTATTATATGACCTTGAGAAAACACGTCAAAAAATATATATAAGAATGTTTATATAATATGTTTGCATTTACGTTGCAGTGTTTGTGTTTGTTCCAATACCACCGATTGTTGCTTGAGTATCAAGCTTTGCTCCAGTTCTGTTTGGTGTTTTGGTAAAGCCAGGTTGTATAGCTGGATCAGACACCATGCGAACGAAAAAAGATCGTCTTTGTTCCAATGTAGCTTTCCTTTTCTTCTCGCGAATATCAGCTAACTCATCCATCACGTCCTACAAGATTTGATTTTGAAATTATTTCAAGGTCAAAACTATATAATTATTTTATATATCATTTGATTTAAATTTTGTACCTTAGATTCTAATAATTCTGCTAAGTAGTCTGTTATAATGGACCAAGCTAGATCTATAATAGAAGATTATTTATGTACCGTTTCTTTTGTTTTTTTTTTTTTTTTTTTTTTAATTTGCTTAGAAATAGCTTGAAATAAATCTTCCTTGAGTAATCTCGTTCTATTTCTTAATTTTATGTAAATTTTTTATTACAATGACATGTCATTCCGTATATTAAGATTTTCTTTAGAAATTATTTACAATTTAATCCAATTTTATTAATCAAGAATCTTGATTTTATAACTTACCAACATCACGAGCGGATGCATTTGGTGCAGCAAGAGCAAAACGAATCGTATAACGTTGATTTACACGAGCTGGTACCATGTGTATCTTTCCTGAATCATTAATGGTACTCAGAAGTTTTTGATTAAGTTTATCAGAACCTTTTGCTCGGAAACATACCAGACCTAACTGTTAAAAATTAAATTAAAATCAACTTAAAAGAATTTCTTTTAATTTAGAAAAGATACATATGTTAATGATGAGAAAAATATTTCTAACCACAACATCATTGCAGATTTCAAATCTTGAATCCTTCCTCACCAAAGCTTCGAATCTCTTTGCAAGTTGGCAATGATTGCGAATGTACGATTGTAATCCAGATATTCCATAGTTTCTCATAACAAACCATAATTTTAATGAACGAAATCGTCTACTTAATGGTATACTCCAGTGTCTAAAAATGAATTATTATTAAAATAATAATTAGATCTAAAGGAATATCGTAAAATCAAATCAATTAGATTACCTGTAATCTATTGCAGTATCAGCGTGTGTATGTTGAAGATATAGTGGATCAACGACTAGGGCACTTGTTAATTTGAATCTATCTTTTACCCATAGACAAGAACAATCAAAGTTGGTTAATAAGAATTTATTTGTGTTTGTATTAAACGAATCTGCATATTCAATACCAGCCATTAAATATTTTAATTCTGGACAGATAAAAGCATTCCCTGCATATGCTGCATCTACATGTAACCAAATCTATAAACGAAATATTTATTAATCGGACAATTGTTTGAAACAATTATTAATATTTATTAATATATTCAAAAATCAATCTATTAATGTAAACGAATATAATAATGTATAATTAATAAATTACTTACTCCAGGATATTTTTTGCAGATTGGACCAATTTCCTTTAAATTATCAAAGGAACAACAAGCAGTTGTGCCAAGGGTTGTAGAAACAAAAAAGGGTACGAAACCTTCTGCGGTGTCAGCTTCGATAGCCTGAAATATTTTTCGTAAATATTATTCAAAGGAACAAACGTGAGTATAATTTTTTTTTTTTTTTTTTTTTCTCTCTATATAAATGATAAATTATAATGGATATCATTGTTATAAAATACCTGTCTTAAAGTTTCGCCACGAAGTACACTTTTCTCATCAGGTTCTAGAATTCTTAATTTAACGAAAGAAATCATAGCATCTTTTTCAACGGAACTATGACTTTCTCGACTACAATAAGCCATTAATTTTCCTAATAATGCAGTTTCATCCAAATGTGTATGAGCTGATGATTCTTTTAATCTAGCAATAGCTTGAGCTCTTGCAGCTAACATGCATACCAAAATACATTCCGATGCAGAACCCTTAAGATTTCATATTCATTTTTTTAAATGTTTTTATATAATAATAATGATATAAATGTTTTACATATTAAACATTGCTTTACCTGTATGACACCTCCACCTTTGCTACTCTCGTTAAAATATAGAAAATCTTTTGGCAAACCAATGGCCTTACCTTGAATTTCAATATAAAATTATTATATTTGAAATTTATTGTATAATGATATTAATTAATACTTACCGAACCAATCACAAACTATTGTTTCTAGCTCTGTGCAAGCTGGACTGGCAGCCTAAAACAAATCAGTATATGATAATAATAATAATAATAATAATAATAATAATAATATATATATATATGTGCGCTCGCGCGCGCACACACACACGCACATATAAATATATAATATATATATAATATAATATAATATAATATAATATAATTTTTATATAATAATAATATTACAATAATTATTGTAATATTATTATTATTATATAAAAAATTATTATTATTTTTTTGAACAATTTTTAAAGATTTATAATAATTATTAAGAATGATATTATTATGAATAATCATTATTACTTCAAAAATTTTCATTAGATAATTATAGTTAATTAAGTTAATTATTATTAATTTAAGAATTATCATTAGATAATATAAATAAACCGAGTTATTTAACTAATAATTAATAATAATATTATAATTCTCAGAATGTTTATAATATTATTATTAAGAATAATAGATTTGTTTCTATTTTATAATATTTTTTAATTTTTAGAAAGAAATTATTTTTTAACTTAGTTATATATATATATATACATAACTAAAAATGAGGAAATTTTATAAAACATCCTTCATCATCTAATATCTGACATGTCAAATCACAAAGTATACTATATATATATATATAAGAACCATCATACTATAGCAAATAATAATTTCCTTCTTCTGACAACTATGATCAATCGATCATTTCTACCCTACAGCTATAGATTATTAACAGGAAATTCATTTTCATTTCCTTATCAATTTAATAATGTGAAATTTGATTTATATTTTTTAGAATTAAAAATCTTATTGATTGATAATGACTGACCCAAGAAAAACCGATACATCCAATCGCATCAGAAAGCATATCACCAAGAATCGATGGGAAAGAATTTCCAGCTGGGAAATATGCATGAAATCTTGGATGTTGCCAGTGTGTGATCTAAAACACACATATGGATATAAATAATTTTTCTATTTTTATCAATTTTCTTAGAGTTTTTTCTTTGGGGGTTTTTTTTCTTTTTTTTTTTTATGTATAAAATATAATACACTCACTCCTGGCATGATTTTAGATTCAACATCTTTCATGATATCTTCCCATGCTTCAGGTTGTTGGGGTGCTTCAGAAGGTAATAATGGTCTCAAGTATCCAGGACCAACATCTGGTGTTACTCTTCGATTATGAATATTACTCATAAATTCGCATATATATTCCACCATTTCTTTTCCACGAATTCGAAATTCTTCGATGTCCATTTTGAACGGATCCTTTGATGATATTCAAAAAAAAAAAAAAAAAAAAAAAAAGGAAATCTATGATAATCGAGAAAACGTTTAAAGAGATTTTTGTTTATTTGTTTGTTAAATGTATCACTTTTTTTTATTTTTTAAACAAATTTTGACATTGAAGGATACATTGTCTTAACGCACAGACACATATAAACACAAACACACATGTGATTAATATAGATCACTTTGATTTTAAAATCACTCGGTGGATAATAAAATTTTTCAAATTATTTTTGTATTTAACTTAAGACCGGCGGTCTTTTTTCTTGCATAGAAAATGTTAGCACAGAACTTTGTAGATATATAGATAGATAGATAGGAGCAGATAGAGAAATATGAGAGTTTATGGTGAAACGAGGAACGATCGAATAATACGAACTTTCGCAGATCATCTTGGTCGTATATATAAGCGCAAGAGGGGTGCGAAAATTTCTCGTTATCTACCGCGAGAGTCCTGCGCAATCGCGAAGGACTTTCTTTCAATGAACTTTATCGTAGATTTTTACAGGAACGTCCGATAAATTTGAAAAATCGTTTTATTTATTGCTACGTTATTTTTATTGAAGTAACGATAATTATTCTTGTTGGATATAAGGATATAAAAATGATAAAAATGATTTATATCTTCAATAATTATTCATAGGAATAATGTTGAAACATTATTAATTATTATGAACGATGAAAATTGTTGAAGTAATAATAATTATTTCTAATAATAATTTGGGTGACTTTAAATTTTATAATCTTTATTTATCGTTTTTTTTTCTTTTTCATTTTAAATCAAAATGATTGTCATAAAGAAAATTATATAAAAATTATCTTATAGAATAATATTTCATGGCACGATGGTTACGAATCATTTTAGAATCCTTCCAATTCGTATGTTCTTCATATTTTACATCCTTCGACGTTATCACTACCCTTAATTTCGTTATCTCTCAAGAACGTTTGCAATTTCCTTTAAGAGGAAATCGATATTTAAATCCGTTTTCATAAGAATAAATGAAAAATCAAATCGTTTTTAAAAGGATATCTTAAAATTTTCTTCACTTTGCATATTCCATCTAAATGTTCATTTATATTAATTAATATTTATTTCTCGTTATATAATTATCTCGATAATAATATCAAAAGATTGAAAAATTATTTAGATTAATTAATTAATATTTCTATTTGATTATAATTATTTGGATTAAGAAAAAAAAATAATAATAATTATTATAATAATCGGGAGAGAAAAGAAAATCGAGCAGAAAATATTTTTCTTGGTTTTTCTTCTTCAATGCTAAATGTAAGGGAAAATTGTCGAATATCGAAGAAGAAAAAGAAGAAGAAGAAGGAGAAGAAGAAGAAGAAGAAGAAGAAGAAGAAGAAGGCCACTTGGAATAAATTGCTTGCTACGATCTTCGTGAAGTACATTTAAACGAATGGAAGAAAAGGGAACGTGGTAGAGACATGGTTAAAAAGATGTCAACACCAGAAGACATCTTCTTCTGATATTCGAATAGAAAATATAATAATAATAATATGAGGAATGTCGGGAAGCAAAAAAAAAAAGGGGGAGGGAATTGTACAGTGAGAAAGCAATTAAGACTCTCATTGACCTATCTTAGCTTTCCTTAGCTCTTAGAAGAATAAAAAATTTCAATGATCAAACATGTTCATTTTCGATCTTTCTTATAGATCATTACTGATCTAATTATAAAAGTATGATTGTTCAAACGTTTTCATATTTTATAATTGTTAATAATTAATTAATAATTGAATTCTTTTCAGAATCATTCTACATTTGTACATTTTAATAATATATTATATTAATAATTTGTTTTATTATTAATTTTATATTTCATCAATTAATCAATTAGAATCACTTTCATGTTAATCTCTTTATGCAAAAATATATTTTATTAAAAATTTGACATTATATCGATTATTAATTATCAATGTTATATTATTTTGATCGATATAATTATTATTTTTATAAATCGTGTCAGAAACTATAATCCAATAATTATGATAATATTGAAATTGAACGAATGAATGAATTAGTGCAACGAACTATTGAAAAAAAAAAAAAAAAAAAGAAAGAGAAAAAGAAAAGAAAAGGAATAAGGTATACGAGGGACGCTACCCCCCTTTTTTCTGACTTAAAATGTCACCCTTTAGAGATAAAAACCTTTCATAATAATGGAATGCAGGATAGAGGCGCCTAGAGGGGTGTTTAATAATGCAATATGCCGTCGAAGCGTCGCGACGCTATGCCGACTATGCCGCATACCAAGAACATATAGGTATACACCTACGCGTTCAACCCTTACACCTACAACTCTTTCAATGGACCTTTTCTACACCCCTCTAACCGATCTTATTCCCTTCTACGTAACCGCCATCGAAATCGTACCGTGCAATAGAATGCTGATTGGAAAATATTGATAGGAAAGACTTCCACCATCATCTCTCTCTCTCTCTCGCGCTCTTTCTCTCTCTCTCTCTCTCTCTTTTTTTTATCGTTTATGTGGTTTTTTTTTCATTTTCCGCTTTAAAATTCGTATAATTAAATCTTATTATATATTTGTTGGTCGAAATTTTATATTTTATATTTGTATAATTTTATATTAGTATATTTTATTTTATATATTATTATATTATATTATACGTGTATATGTAGATGTTATACTAATAATACTATTATATACATATTATTTATTAATTGATTCTATATATTACTATATCGTTGTATGTGTAATATATATATATATATATATATATATATTACATACAATATGATATATATCTATATATTACTTTATATATTAAATATATGCGTAACATTTACTTTATTAATTAGTTGAAATTTAAAATGAGTTCGATCAATATAATTAAAAAATTCTCGATCTCTCGAAATATCGATCAAGATCGATAATTAGATTCTATTATATGTCATTATCATTAGAAATTTTAATATATTTTATTATTTATATTACTTTGTTATTTCATATATTTTATATAAAATGTACATATATATATATATATATATATATATATATATATATATATAATTATTTTATTAATTAATATAATTTATATTAATCGATTTAGATTAATTAATTAAAGTGATATTGATTGTAATAAAAAAAATTCTCGACTTTTCGAGATCGATAGAAATTAATTTTTCAGAATGATCTTAATAATTTATTTTCAATGTCTGATCGTATCTCTTTAATTGCTTCAAAATGAAAAATGTTTTCGGAATACTTTCGTTCATATAAAATCGTTCCGAGTTCCATAAAAATGGTTCTTCGGTATTGGCACGTCGAACCATAGTAATACTATAGACCTATGACCCAGTGACAGAAAGAGAGTGAGAGAGAGAGAGAAAGAGAGAGGGAGGAAGGTAGGGAGAGAGAGAGAGAGAAAGAGAGAGGGAGGAAGGTAGGGAGAGAGAGAGAGAAAGAGAGACAGGCATATAGGTTAAAGCACGTATTTCAAGACGCTAACCTTTTGTCCCAAATAGTTCGAATATATTTCAATCAATAATTCTCAAACATTATACCAAATATTAAATGAAAGAGAATTATAAGAAAATTAAAAAATTTATTTCGTGAAATAATTTTGATTAAAATTTAGTTATAAATACGACTCACGTATTAAAGTTCCTATTACGAATACAAATTACGACGTACGGGTGAAATCGATGTGTCGTAGAAATAGAAAAATATTTTTAAAAGGAATATATTTCTTTTTCTTTTTTCTTTTTCTTTAATTCCATTAAATTATATTGTTTACAGATGGGGAGATTGAAAAGAAAGAAGAATTTAGCAATGATGAGGTTAGGAAAGGATAAAAATGAATTGGAAGTTCCAATTATTCCATTCAAAAATTTGCCAAAAGAATTTCTTTTAATGCGTGTAAGTTCGTTTTTCTTCTTTTTTTTTTTTATTTTTTTTTTTTTGTTTACTATCATTTTTATGATCGTATAATAGCTCGATTAGGTCAATCGAATATTCGTTCCTTCGTGTTAATTTTATAGGTTAAGAATGGTACAAAAATTAGAAATGTCTTGGGATATGCAATAAAAGAATTTACGAATCATGAATGTATCGTTTGGACTGGTGTTGGACAAGCTGTCGGTAAAGTTATTTCCTGTAGTGAACTTTTTAAAACTAAATATAAAGGATTACATCAAGTCACAAAATTACGTTACATTGTGTAAGTAAAATCATGCTCAGATTTGTATCTATAAATTTTCTTTTTATAAATATATTATATGATCAATTCATTTCAGATCAAAAAATTCAGAAAATGGAAATAATGATATGAAAGAAAAGACTCGTCGTATACCAGAGATTCATATTTTATTATCGAAAGAAGCTAGAGACGTTACATTACCTGGGTAAGATATCATAATAGATTCGACATTATATTTTCTTTTTTATAATATTTAAATAAAATATGTTTGTTAAAGTTATCAGGCTCCAGATGACCCTGGACAATTCAATATTCAAAACGATAATAATCAAACGGAATTAAGTGTTATTAATATAAATAATAGTAATAGTAATAGTAATAGTAATAGTAATAGTAATAGTAATAGTAATAATAATAGTCGTAATAGTGGTAGTAGTAATAGTAAAAGTATAATTAATATCGATGCAGAAAAGTTTGCTGCTATGGGATTAATAGGACGGAAAAGATTAAAAAAGGATCAATTAACGTCAGCACATCCAAAGAGAAATAAAAAAGTGAGTAAAAATGATCAGAAATGATCAATGAATATGAGTTGATTGATTCAAATGCATTGATTGATTCAAGGTACAAAGTTTATTTTATATTAATACATAGAGATTTGGTCACATGTAATACATTATTTATATCTCTACTTTTTTTATTATTCTGTATTATTTAAGCATCATTCTCGAATTTCTTTCTTTTTTTTTTTTTCTTCTACTTACAGATTGTACATATATGATATCAAAAATTATCCAATTGTATTATTCTGTAACAAAATATAAATACGCTTTGATCCATATAACTTATTACATTTACAATGTGGAAATTATATACTGAGAGATTTATTTTTTTATAATTAAATAATAATGGTAAATGATATACAACATAACAATAGAGGTATAAATAATGTCATTGAAATTGTATTAACAAGATTAATAAGAGTTTTCATTTGCTTGATTAATTATTAAATTGATGGGAAAATTGGCAGTGATATGGAATAATTTCCTGTTAGATATATTGCTTTGTATTATAATACAATAAACTGGAAATATTTTTTTAATAACATTATTTTAAAATGTTATCACAAAAAGTACATATAAGTTTGTACTTATCTAATAAGATCATCGAATTATTATTTGCTTAATCTATTGAACATAAATATTTTCTTTTCTTTTGAATAACAATACAAATTGTTATTTATATGTATTAAAATGTAAATATGTTTAAACAATTGAAAAGAAGTGCAGCATATTACAGATATAATAACATACGGGTACTACGTATATACAAATAATAAGTATTATTATAATACAATTCCGATTGATTTTCCATCTTCGTTTCTTTTTTTTTTTTTTTTTTTTTTTTTTTGGAGAATCAGTCCCAATTCTTTTAAGATACTGTTATGCACAAGACTGATTTGCATAGAATTATGAATAACTTGTTGTTAATTATCCAAATTTTCTTCACGCAGATTGTGTATCATTAGAATCGTCCTTTGCATTATTACTGTTTAACAGATTATCATTTAAGAAAAATAACATTATATAATTAGCATTGAAAAGAGAGAATAAAATTTGTATATAATTATCAAAAGGATACATGAACTTTCAGTGTCAATATTACAACAATTCAAAAATTGGAGGAACAGCGTTTTGCGAATGTAATATTTAAAATAAGGATCTACTATTACTGACTGTAATATTTTTTAATTATTTATTTTTTTTTTTTTTAATTTATCTCCATTAGAACTATATTTTCAGTAGCAAGATTCTTAAGTTCTCACATTATTGTATTTATTATAATTATAACATGTTGTAATTAATTACAGATATACATATAAATGCTACAAAAAAAAAAAAAAAAAAAAAAAAAGAAAAAAAAAGACAACATTATTCTTTACCTTTGTTGTTTTTATCTTAGAGCTGAGAGTACTGATTTTGATACAGATACATTATTAATTATAAATATGTATAAGAAATATTAAATTTTCTCTTTTCTATCGTTATGACTATAAAACATTATAGAAATATTTCAAAACAGGTTTCTTTTTTTTTAAGTTTCAAAATTGCAATTAGTATACCATTTATACCAAATAAACTATGTCATTGAGCTCTTAATATATTATCAAAGATTTATAAGTCTTACATAGATAAACATCAACTTATATTGTATTATAGCTAATTATGAAGCATGAAAAAATTTCTTGCAATTTTTATTTCTCTGTTCCTCAAAAAATCATTAGTATCAATTTCTACTCACTCTCGTTTGATGCTATATATACTCATAGGTATAAAATATTTTCTAAGAGCAGAGTTTTATCGATCATTATCAGAATACATTCACGTTTACAAATATTTTGGAAAATGTATCCTGATAATATAAACAAATTCCCACCAGATCTCTCTAAATCTGATGATTTGTTTTTGTATAATACTATTATATTGTAAAAATCTTATGCATCACTCTCAGTTGCACCGTCTTCTTCCATTATAGGTACTATTAAATTATCTTTCGACATCAAATTATATTTAGTTACAAATGCTGTAAACCTTCGACAAAGAAATGTTTTATTTTCAAATTCGTCGAATATCGTTCTGTGATGAAAATATGCGTGAGAAAATATTCTATATACTCTACGACATACAGATCCAAGCTTAGCTACTGAAGATTCTTTAATGCTCACTCTGAAATAATACAATAGCTACAATTAAATATATTGTAAACAAAATTGATATTTTAATATATTAATAATATATTATACAATAATATATAATATATACCTGCTAGGAAAATATTTATTACTGTTCAGTAAACAAGCTGCTCCATCGAGTGTATGTCTGGTATAATCAATAGCAGGACATTCTTTAGGAGTTTTATGCGCAGCGCATAAAAATATCCACTGTTCTGTGGCTGTCATTTGATTACATGTTTCAGGATGACATTCTTCTTGCAATCTAACTGCCAATCCATTAAGTTCCATACAAAATTGTCTTAAATGTTCATATTTCCAAACTCCTTCATCTTGGGCATCTGGCATGTTAAGTATCAATTCTATATTTGATGGTTCTCTCCTGATTGTCTGTTGTATATATTGTTGTACCGCCAATGTGCTATCCATTTCTTCAAATACTTCATCTGGCCACATGCTAAAATCCTGTAAAGTTTGTTAAAAAACAATTCAATAAAGCAATAATCTTTTCTTAAGAATAATTTAGGATCAATTGTTAATGACAAGAATATTTCCAAAACTTCAATAACAAACATTGATTCTTGTATAATTTATTACAATCATTAATATCTCAATGATAAAGGCTAAAGGTTCTAAAATCTTATCTGAAAAGAATGTCATTCAACATTAGATTAATCTCATAGAATATTTATTATTTTTATTATTTGTTTATAAATATTCATTGAAATATGCTTAAGTAAGGAGATGCCGGTATATCAATAAAGTTCATCCGTCCTAATCAAACGAATGGCAAAGTAATATTTGTATCATATATAAACAACACAATGTCAAAGATAATTGATAATAATATCAACCTTAGCTTTAGTTCCGGGTCTATTTCTTCTCAAGATTGTAGGTCCGTCCGCCATCTTCATTTTGTCAGTTCTTGCAATTAATATGCTTGAACATCCAATTGTATCAGAAAGGGAGATGCTTCTTCTCCTAGAATATCCAATATTTTTTATATAGTATCTTTTATTGCCACCAGATGGCGATTATGTAGATTATCGTTTGTGAATCTATCGATTTTAAATCGCACAATAAACCTTTGCTTTATCGTCTTTGAAAGGTTATTTCTAACCTCTAATTTAGTCATTAAAAAAAAAGAACAAAAAAAAGAAACAAAAAGAGAAATAAGATTTTAAAACGTATTAAACTTGTATTAAAAAAAGAATGTTGAAAACAATGTTAGCTTTTAATTTAAAAGAAACGAATGGAACACACAAACGTTTATAACAGCTTTATAGGTGGATCACTGAGTAAAATGGAGGGAGAAGATCCGTGAAATGACGTTCGAAGAACAGCGCCAATTATAGTAATCACGCGCAGTTTTATGTTCGTTACTGTTAAACATTTTTAATAATGTATATATAAGATGTATAACCTATAAAAATGGTTGTGTAAATAATTAAAGTTATAGCCATGCAAACATGGCTTCGATCCACGTTAATAGTTCTATCGAAAGCGCGAATATCAAATTCGTAAATTTGATTGATAGAATATTATCATTGACACATACGAAATTAAGTGATAAAAGATTGATAAATTCATGCCTGAATGATCTTAATGATATTGATTACAGACACATTAATATAACTAATAATGATGTAAGTTTTAATCGAATATAAATTTATCATATTATGTAATTAATGCTTTATGTTATTTATAGGCTGTATTATTATTGATAAATCAACTTTGTGCTATTGTACCACCTACCGAAACACTTCTAGTTAAAAATACTTGTCTATTCTTAGCTAATGTAATACAAAATGATCTTGTATTCCAAGGGAGAACCTTTGCCGCTTGTACACGATGGATTTTAGATGCGTTAAAGTTTTCACAATCTTTCGCTTGGATTTCTATTCTTATTGCATTAAAAAGTCTCTTAGTTACTGGCAATTTTGATAATATTAATCAAGTTAGTATTCTTGAATTTTTATAAAAATGATTTCTTTCTCTATAAGTATATTAATATTTCTTTATGTCTTTTTTTTTTCTACTTCTTCTTCAGTATCTTCAATCCTTACTTGGAAATAAAGGTTTATTAAATAAATACTTAATACCTCAAAACGAAGAATGGACGGATTTAAATTTTCAAGCAATATGTTGCTTGGAAGGAATTCTGATGAATAAGAAAAGTAATACATATGTATCACAAGAATACATATCTATAATTAAGGATGTTGTTTTGAATACAGTGTCATTGTTACCATGTTCGAATCATAGTACACAATATTATAGCAAAGTAATGAATTATTGTAAGAAATGTTTGAAGTACATTTTCAAAGATAATAGATTTTCATTTGTAATTTGTATTTTCAGATTCTATGTTTATGTTTGAGAATTTTACGTGGCGCAATAATAGATAAATTGATACCAGTTTCATCGGATCTCATTGGTGAAATCTTAGGAGTAGTACAAGCTTTCTTATTTTATGGAATTAAAGATTATTTACCTATACAACCACAACTTCTCCGTCCAGCAGCAATGAATCTTCCAGAACGACCACATGTTGTACCAAAGTGCAAGAATCAGAAAGTATCCAAATCAAAATCCAAAAAGCAAATATCTAAAAAATCTATGCCAGAAGATAAACGTATTGTTAGTCCAGAAAATAAAAGGATTTATAAATACTCTAGCGAATCTGAAATATCGGATACCGAAACAAATGATTCTGTTCTGGCGGAATCTAAAGTTAGACTCGAAGCTGTACATCTATTGCAAGCACTAATAGAAAATACACAAGCCCGTGAAATTTTTGGTTATTGGCCTCAAATAGTTGCGACTGGTTCGCGAAACGATGCTAGAGTATTAGCCAGGAGTATTTTAAAAGAACCTAATACAAAAGTGCGACAAAATGTTTTAAGTGCACTTACTGAATTATTAATTGGTGCTAAACCTTTTTTAATACATGCAGAAGATGTTCAGCCTACGTCATTTATAACTTTCTTTGGTACGGTTTATCTAATGGTGAAAGAATTGCATTTTACATTATCCTTAGTTTTAAATACTGAAAAAAATGCAGCTGTTTTGACTCATTTATTAAAATGCATAGCAGCACTTATTCAAGGTACACCATATGCTAAATTAAAACCTGGACTTGCAACAAAATTAATTAGAAATTGTAGATCACATATACAACACAAAGGTATATGTATATACATATATATATATATATGTCTTTATATTTATATATATTTAATTATTAATTAACACACAATTGTAGATCCTACTGTAAAAGTTGCGACGTTCTTAGTTTTTGAAGGACTAGTTTGGAACGATCCTATTACTCCAGAAATACATGAGATTCTTGCAAAACAATCAAATGTTAACTCTGAACCAGAAGCAAATACAAGTTCGATCAATGACATAACAACTCAAGAAGAAGAAATAGATATTGAAGATTTGAATGATAATAAAATTGAAACTGATAATCAAGATAAGCTTTTTAAAGACAAAGGCATCAGTTCTTTACTTCAAATATGCTTGAATAATATATCAAACAAGGTATTATAACAAACAAAGTATTATATAAAAATTTAATATTTTTCTCTATGATTGTTTGTTAAATAAATAATTATATATATGATTTTAGTGTACAAGTACGCCAGTTCAACTTCAATCATTGAAACTAATTGGTTCATTAGCATTTAACACCAGTGATCTTGTATTTCCTTTTTTGGAGAGAGTTACAAATACTTTAATTTCTGTATTAACAGATTCTGAAACACAAATTATATTACATTCTTGTCGGACAGTTGAGATAATAGCAGGTTGTCTAGCAAATACAGATTCAAGTCATAATTCTGTATTATTTTGGAATATTGTATTCGAACCTATGACGTTACTTGTTCAACACGAACAAATTATATTAAGAGAGGCTGCCTGTGATTGTTTAGGCACTATCAGTTGTAATATGTTCACTCAATTAACGGTATATAATATTTCTTTACTATAAAATTTTATTAAAACTTTTATTTAATATTTATATGTTATATAATATTGTTGTTACAGCGTGAACAAAATGTGTTACTTAAAACAATATTAATAGGTAGTATCCATGATGATGAAAGTGCTGTAAGAGCAGCAGGTTTAAGAGCATTAGGAATGTTAATAACACTTCCTCCGTTAGAAGAAGACACTGGTTTTTTAATGGATTTAGCTGATATAGTTTGCTTTGGTTTAGATGATCAAAATCTTGGGGTACGCATAAAAGCAACATGGGCATTAGCAAATTTATGTGATTGTCTTTCTAGACGAAAGTGAGTCTCATCGGTTTAATTATTATTATTATTATCAATATATTTTACAATTTAATACGGTATTTTTTTTAAAGATGTAATGAAGATATGGAACCTATTCTATTCGATATTTTATTACCAAAACTTTATCAAACAAGTGTTAAAGCTGCGAAAGATAATGATAAAGTAAAATGTAATGCCGTTAGAGCCTTGGGAAGTATATTGCATTTATGTCCAAATAGAGAAATATTGAAAGATACGTCTTCAGGATTGGATGCTTTAATTAATTGTGCTGTATTAGGAAATGATATGAAAGTAAATATATAAAATTATTATAAAATATATAATTATTTAGAAAGAAAATTTCAAAAAAAAAAATCTTTCATGAATTTTAAATACAATATAAGAATGATTTTCTTAGGTAAGATGGAATGCTTGTAGAGCATTAGGATTAGTTTTGTCCCATAGTCCAGATGATGTTTTACCATCATCTTGGCAAGTACGTATATAATAAATTTAATATTAACGATAAACTATATTAATCATGCTGATAATATAATTTCTTATATCAACATTTATTTCTACAGGAACAAGTCTTTCCAGCATTGTGCAATTTAATATGTCATAGTCCTAATTTTAAGGTTCGCACAAACGCAGCGTGGGCATTATATTCATGTAAATTTTATGGTAAATACACTCCAACTTTATGGAAAAGTATAGTTTTAGCTTTCGAAAATTGTCAACATGTGCCAAGTTATGTCGAATATTCTCATCGTGATACGCTTGTCCAACAGGTCTGTTTACAGTATATTTCATTTTTATTTAATATGAACAACATTATTATAATATTAAAATTAAAATATTAAAATATTAAAATAATATTAAAATTATTTCTATTCTTATAGTTGTGCCTTACTCTCAGTCATTTAGCAGCTCATACGAAAGTATCAGAATTACAAAATGTTTGGATAGAAATTGGTGATCACATTGAAAATATTTCTAATTATATTAAAAAGTTTCAGGTAATGTGAGAATTAATATTTTTCTAGGTATAGAAATAATTGTAACAATTATAATTGTATATAAAAAAAAATGTGACATATTTATTTTACATATGATAATTTACAAAAGATGTTATAATATACAATATATACAATGTACAATGTTTGTATACAATTACAGGAAAACATATTGCCAGAAAAAGTTGGAAATTTAATAGAAGCTAAAGCGCATTTAGAAAAGTGTGTTAAAATTGCCAAATCATCGCAAGATCAACGAATTGCTAATACATTAGCTAATTTATTTGATAGAACAAGTCATTATGATAATTTAGATAGTTTAAGTATAATGTGATTATAAAGTATAGATAGAATTGATCCACTTATTTAATAATTAATATATTATTAAATGATCATTCGTTCTGTAATTTAATTTATAATCAAACTAGATTATTACAAAATGCATTTTTTATTTGTATTAATAAATAAATATATATATATATATATATATTTATATATATATATAAAAGGGAAAAATGACGTTTGGTAATAATTTCTTGGAAATAAGAAGATTCTACATTTAGAGTATGCTTTTTCTTTCTTATTACGTTTCACTTTGTTTCATATATATATATTATATAATTTGAATACATAATATATATATATATATATATATATATATATATACGTATTCATCTTATTTATCTTCCTTTGTCTCTTTTTTCACAGATTCATTTAATATTGTATTATTTTCTTGATCTTGTTCTACTTCTGTAGAAGTATCATTTATAGTATCCTTACATGTAACTTCGGACTCATCTTTATTATGTTCCACTTCTTTTAATTGTTCTGTCTCTAAATGAATTTTACTTTTAATAGTCACTTCATCGCAATTAACATCAGACCGTACTTCATTAGTTTCAATAGTTTCTTCTGCCGAATCACTGTCCTCTGT